ACAATATTTTCTGTTTGATGTTTCAATTTATTTTAAATTAGTGTGTTTTTTCAAGTTATTGATTCAGGCTAAAATAGAAGCACGGAAAGAGCATGAAAGAAGGCAAAAAGAAAATGAGAGGAAAGCGGAAATCGTCCAAGTTATTAAGAATACAGAAAAGCTAAAGAAAACGAAAAAGAAGCAGCTGAGAAGAATCGAGAAACGTGACACGACTTGAAGTTTAATGAATTATTTTTAGAATTACTACAGTTTTTGCTCTTATACATCAATTAAATTTGAAATGTTTCGTAGCTTTAATGGAAGTTAACGAATTGAGATTTTACTGAGTTGTATGTTTCAAGTAGAATGTTCAGATAATTTATACATCGAAAAAAAGTTGAGTTGGGAGGGGACTGAATTGGTGAATCTTTTTTTTGGGAATAGAAAAAGGAACTGAGACAATCAATATTAATAGTCAAATAACTTTTTACTAATGAATAATTTTAAATAAATGAAGTTAAAACTCAAAATTTGTGCTATTCTTTCTAAAGATACGATACTGAATTCCTTTTATTGTTTTCGAACTGTTTGTTAGAAATTTTATCTGTTGTCTAATTGTTGAATTGTTCTCCAAGCTCATTTCCTACATTTTATGTAATAAACTTTTGATATCATTTTTTTTTAATTTATCTAGATGGATATACGTTTGCATATTGAAATCAAGGTTAATATTATGAATTGGATTTTGTTGAAGACATTCAGCCATTTCCATGGTTAGTTGATTAAGAAATATGCGCTTTTACGAGAATAATTAGGATGTTTTAGTGATGTACATTGTAATAATGTTTTGTTTTTTGAAGTCATAAAACGTACAAAGATGTCCAAAGAGCAGGATGGTTCGATAAAGTCATATGGTCGAGGCGGTGGTCGTACGAAACGAGGTCATGATAATTTTGCCGACGGTAACGATGATGTTGGCTCACTAAAATGTCAGCGAATAATTACTGAGGAAGAAAAAAAGGATTTCATCAGTTACCAAAAAGGTTAAACGACTTTTTCTTGAAGGAAGTATATTTTATTTATGATAAGAAAGATCAATTTTCTTTCCTGCGAGATTAATCACCTCTTAATTAGACATTGTGTACAGAGGTAATTTTCCATGCAATTAAATTGCATAAATTGTAAAATATTGGAATATAAAAAGTGAGATAGACTGTGTATTACGATGTAACATATCAGCCATTTATCTCAATCGATTTTGTTTCAAAAAATTATTACCATGAAATATATTCGAGAAAAAATACATTTTAATGTTTAGTCAATCATTAAAATATCCCTAGTTCTAGATCTTTTTATTTTGTAGTTTTCTGAAAGTTTTCCAGAAATGGACGAAAGACGTGATCGGTATGAGAGAATCGTGAAGCAGTCACGTGATGTAATTATTGAATGTAAACGAATCATCTTCCAGTTACATCGTACAATCATTGTTAATACATCTACGAACAAAGGTAGAAGTTGGTTTCATTTTTCATTAAAAAGTTGCAACGCTTTGTTAACATCATTTATTTATGAATTCTTCTTGTCGAAAACTTCAAAAAAAAAAAAAAAAAAAAAAAAAAAACAAAAATGAATGGTAACTCTAGGTGTAATTTGTGTTATTAGAGATTAGAATAAATGGAGTTAACTTGATAGGTTTCATTTCTCAATTTAAACTGCTGTTACAATCGTTTATTTTATTTTTCATGGCGAGATTACTCTTTCTGTACGAGATGGAAGGTAAATGTCAGCTTAAGAACTAATTCACTAGATGATAAGATAACAAAGGACAGGTAAGGTCTGTCGAATGAGCCTTAAATCCACTATCATTGATAATAAAGATAAGCAATAATTAGTGTTATTTTTATGAGTTCTTATCATTTCTTAATGGAAAGATCTTATATCCATTTATCACCATTTGGTTATTTCTTTACTATGCTGAAAATTGCTTGTTTTCTCCAACCATAATCTGATCATTTATCTCAACTGATAATTATAGCTGTTTCGATGAATCTCGTAATTTAATTTCCAAACCGTTCCTTGTAATTCACTTATTTATTATACCAGAGTTAATTAACTTTTGTTATAACACTCATTAATTGGTATTGGTAATTTTCGAGAAGAGGAAATTTATTAGTAGTTTATTGCAGTCTTTCTGGTATCATGTAACTTCGCATTCATCTTTAGAAGAAGTACTAAATGAGGCAGATAGACGGTTAAAGGAGGTACGTAACAAAATGCTTCGACAAATAGCAGAAGAGCTTTATAGTTTGGATCATTACTATTACCTAAAGTCTTATGACTGGGCTCTTGAAGGTATTTTTTATTTTCGATAAAAATATCTCCATCACCATCCTTGCTTTTCTTCTTTGACTTTGTTGGTAACGATTGTTGAGAAATGTTGGTGGATAAGTAACAGAGAATTTTAAAAGATTAGTGGCTAAGATAAGCCTAATTTTGCATTTAGTGAATTGTGTTAGATCTTTCACAATATCAGAACTTTGTTTTTATCTATAACGACGGGTAGCTATTGATGTAAAGAAAGTAAAGTCCATTATTTTGAGCAGTAGAAAGGGACACTCATTTGTTGTTATTTAAGTTGTCGGTTTACCAGTGTTTATTTCAGAATATATTGAAGCTTTGGCATTCTACAGATTTTTAATATCTGGTGAAGTGCTTTTATACAGTGAGATAATCGATATATTACAGTTTGCTGACTTAGATTCTGAAGAAAATGAAAATAAAAAGTTAGTTTTTATTTTCTCGAGTTTTCAGTTCAGTATACAAATTTTTAATGTGTCAGGGTCTGCTGCATCTTCTTGCAATTTTGTACTAAACACGAAACTGTATTTTCCATTTTATCAGATATTGAAGAAAAATCACCCATAGTTTTGATCTTTTGTTTCAAACTTGCTAGTCAAAATATCGCCGTAAAACTTAATCACATAATTCATTATTATTATCTTTTTAAGATTTTTTTTTTTTTTTTTAAAAACGGAAATGGTTTTAAAAAAAAGATTTTTCAGATTTTAAAAGAATATAGCTCTAAAAAAAAATTTTTTTTTCTAAAAGACGATTTTCCAAATCTCTAAAAAATAATTTATTCAGTTGCTAAAGTGTGCTGTTTTGTTAACTGTACATTAATTAAAATTTTCAGGTTTTATATTGAATTGCCTGAGATAACATATTTGATGGGACTTTTCGATGTGGGTGGCGAATTGATGAGACTTGCCATTAGTGAAGTTTGTGAATTTAGAATTTTCAAAATTTTATTTTTTTTTTTCATTTTGCTATTTTTTAAAACGGAGAAACTAGAGTGACACTATAATTCTGACAATAAAACGTTTAAGTTTAATGAAAGACTTAAGGCAATAGGAAACGAGAACCTCTATTCTTAGTCTTTCGTTTGCCAAAATATGAAAACACGGTACATTTTCATAAAATGAATCGAAATACCATTCAAATTTTTACTTAACACTTATTTTCATGAAGTTAGTCTTAAAATGAGTACGAAATACCAAAAGAGCATATTATCATTGTTTAAATTTTACGACGTTTTAGTAAGACGAAGAATAAAACTAATGTAAAATAAATGGATTCTTAGACTTTTGAATTTGTAGATTTCAGCAGGTAATTCTGATACGGCTGTAAATATTGTTAATTACATGCGGTTATTACATGGCTGTTACGAATTTTTGGGCAATATAGTGCACACTGCTGAGTGGACGAAGAAATCACAGGTTTTCCGGGATTGTTTGATGAAGGTTATTTCATTTTCTTTAATCGTAAGTCAGTTGTTCGCATTACATGTTATTATAAATTTTGATTTTGAAGTTTATAACTTTCCGGAACATTTTTCCTTTTAGATCTCTGTGATGAATTCAAAATTTTTATCAGTTGTCAATAATTATTTAGATGATTGAGTATCGTTTTTTGAAGTAAAACTGGCATTTATAATGTATAATAGTAGGAAAAATTCGGAAGAATTTTTTTTTTTTTATCATTTTAGTAATTTGGTATATGGTATGTTTTCAAATTTGGGCATTCCATACTATGTGCATGACAAAGTTACCTTATTTTCAGGTTGAGAACGCCTTGTATAAATGGAAAATCCGTGAAAATGATATGCTGATAGATGCAAGTTTATTAACATAATATTTTCAGTTATCTTAATTTACAAGAGAGTAATTATTTGAATTGTTGATATATATAGTGATAAAAAAGAGAAATGTTCGCTCTTCATCTCAAAAAGTCTACTTTCAAATCGAAAGTTGCTGATATTATTTTAAACGCAAAGTCGTTAATCTGATTTATATCATTTTGCTTATCCTAAGTGCCGCAATTTAAGATTTACTTCAAATCAGATTAGAACTAATAGCTATTGTTTTAAACTAAGAAAAAAAAGTCACCTTACGATTTTCTGTTGTGTTTAATTTGTTATTTCTTGTGTTGATGAATAATTGTTTTGGAAAAAGTTCTACTGATTTCTTTAATTTTTTGAATGTTTTTATTTTTTTTTCATCACTATAAAATAATGACATTTTTAATGCATTTTCAATAAAACCAATGTAAATATTAGGAAAATAATGATATTTTGTTGGAATGTTTGATTTTTTTTTTCGAGTAATTTGATTTAAATATTGTATTTGTTTCAAACCACTTTTATTATCATTAGTTTTGATTATTCGGGATATCGGAATAAATTGAAAGTAATGAAATGATTCTCACCGATTAGTTACATGACTCAACAAGATTAACGTATGTTAAATTATGAATTCACAAAAAGCTGTGATAACGTTAGCTACGGAATATTTCACTTCATGCATTGAATATCTCATTACACATTCATCAGATTTTTAAGATGTGCTTGTAATGCTTTTCCAAAGAATTAAAAATTTATTATCTAATTCAATATTTAACAAAATTTTCAAATTAGAATGATTTTATCATTGTGAATTTCTTAGACTTCAAAGCTGTTAAGATCATTATTTTAATTCAATTAAATTATCTTCTGTCTGATCCATTTTCAGCAATTCTTTTCGTAATATCTTTCCAGCACTATTAACTGGCATATTATTAATAAACTGAATACCACCTTTGAGTTGTTTATAACTCGCAAATTTAGCTAAAATATAAAATTACTTATATATTTTAGAATTGTCTAAAATAAATGATTATTATTCATTAATCATACGAAAATTTTATTTGTTAATCATTGATTTATATTTCTAATAATTATAATTTTTAAAAGAAAATTAGTGACTGTACTTTATTTTTTACTAGACGATTTTCATTGGGAACACATTTTCTTTTTTCAATGAAATTTTTATTATTTTTTTTTTCAATTAAATATTTTCAATTTTTTTAAATCAGTGTTGATAATTTCTGTGAATGTTAAAAACAAAAGTGTTGTAGTATTATTTTCCAAATACATTATTCTTTTGTAGTATGCCTTTTTTTTTCTCTTTTAAATTTATTTAATATGAAATATCACATTTATATAATATTATATATTTAACTAATATGACAATTAGGTGACATTATTCCCCCTCTCTCTCTCTCTCTCTCCCTTTCTCTGGCTCTTTCAATATCAATATTTTGAACTATTATTTAGAGTTATATTTCTAAAAATTTTTAGGTATGAAAAGATAAAATTAACATACAATTTACTAATCGATGAATTTTATTTTCATCTGGTTGACATCCATCATGAAGTTGAATGTAAGCTTTCGGTAATTGTCCACTGTACTCGTCAGGAATGCCAACTACAGCGCATAATTCAACATCTTCTAATTCTTGAATTTTTTCCTCAATTTCATATGGTGATACCTTGAAATTATTATGTATTCGTTATAATTTATCAATTAATGGTATAAAACTTTTTTTTTTTTTTGCATTTCTTCTAATTAAATAAACTATGTTTTAATTTTTATGTCTCATTTTTAATTTTTTTATCAGTTTAAATTTCATATTTAACAAAATATGAGTATTTCAGTTTTTTTTTTATATTAAAATAACTGAAATAACATTTAGTTATCGTCAACCTGCCAACCGCGAACTTTGATCATTTCTTTAATACGACCAGTTACATAAATAAATTGATCGAAATCATAATATCCCAAATCACCTGTTCGATACCAACCATCAATAAAAGCATCGCTAAAATATAATTCGATTCAAAATGATATTTAAGTGAAATTTATTTCTTAAAGGAAAAAAAAAAAAAACAAAAACATGGAATATTTGAGCATACTTTGTATCGGTGGTTCTTTCGAGATATCCTTGCATCATTGTTGATGTCTTTAACCATATTTCACCGATTTCTTTTTCTTCACATTCTTCATTACTTGATAATTTTACAATCTATTTTTTTTAATTTCATCAAAATGCAAGACATTTTACGGCATAAATTAAAATCCGGAATTAATGATTGCCATATCGATCAATGATCGGAAAAAATTGGAGAAGTACAGCTTGAAACGAAATCTTTCAAACTATCATAATACTACCTATATATTTTTCTCTCTCCCTCTCTCTCTCTCTTTGTTTTTCGTCTCTCTCTCTTTGTAATGTATGTATATTCTACAAATTCATTAAAGCTTTGGTAGAGATGGTAATAATTGAAGCTAAAATTGAAATTTGAAATTAGAAAACTATTTATTGTTACTTTAGGTATAGAAAATATTAATTACTTAATTGGAACATAGTTTAAGTACCATTAATATCACAAAAGTTATATCAGATCATCACTTTACTCAATCTATAAATTCATCAAGTCATTAAACTGAAGCATATAATTAAAATTTCACTTTGCATTCAACATTTGGTAATAAAATTCCGCAACTTCCAATTTTTTTCTCGCCAAATAACGGTTGCATGAAAACGAAAGCACCAGCTTCTGTTGTACCATATACTGAAATATTTAAATCATTTCAAACAGAAAAAGAAATTTCTTTTCGAAACTTAGGTTTTAAAAAGAAATCTTTTTAGAAATTAACCTTTGAGATGAAACAAAATCAAACTAAAAAAAAAGATTTTTATCAAGATATCACAAATGGAACTATAAATATAAAAATACTTTCAGTATTCTGATAAACAAAATGTTTATTCATCTATTGAGCATTCCAATTCTTTTGAATAGTTTCAGCAATTCCAAAAGGTTATTAATGTTTAATAATTTAAAGTTTTCTTAAAATTGGCTCACACTGAGTAATATTCGTTTCAGATAAGCGATATTTTACCATTTCGACCAGTGACTCATTAACATGAGCAGATCCTACGAAAATGTATTTTAGAGAATGTAACTCTTCAGGATTTAAATTGGGTGTGTCCGCAAGAAATTTTAGTACCGGTGGTACTAATAAAGCTGTTGTCACCTGAATTTTATGCATTTCAAATATCATTTATTTCGGAAGTATTCTAATTGGCAAAAATTTCTTAGTTAGTAAAAGTTTGCCTAATATAAATGATGCGAATATGAAAATTAAAATTAAATTTAAATTTCTTGACTGCATGTGCAAACCTAAACCAATATTAAAATGAGGAAATGTTTTAATGCATTTGAAATTGCTAATTTGTAACTTTGCAGTTTTTAGCCATTATTTTTTCACTTTTTTTTTTTATTAAAAGAAATATAAAAAAGGAAATAGTGAAATATTACCTGATAATTACTTAGTATTCCCAAAAATTGTTCAGCGTCAAATTTTCGATTTATAATTATTTGAACACCTAATCCTAAAAGGCTCAAAACAGTAAGCAGACCACCTGCATGAAAGTACGGTAGCACACCGTACACCACGTCAGTACCGCTCAGACTAACCATTTCATATTCTGCGCATTTGATTCCTTGAGCTTTGCTATAATTATATCGTCAATAAAATAAAATAATTTATGAAAGATTTTTTGCTTATTTCACATATACCAAATTAATTTGACGTCAGTTTGTAATTCGCCCATAATTAATAATGGCAACTTGCTATGATCTTTTTTCCTTTCAGAGTAAATTTCTTTAGGAATTAATTTCGAGAAATATACAAATAACTGTGTGTGTGTATGTGTGTGTGTGTGTGTGTGTGTGTGTGTGTGTGTGTGTATGCATGCATGTGTATGTGTACCTGTCGTAAACAAATTTTTGAAAACAATGTTTGTAAAATTGTCAGATATAAATCAATGCAAACATACCGGACTAATTCAACATTAGCAATAAGTGTTCGATGACTTAAACGGATTCCTTTTGGCAAACCGGTTGTTCCGGATGAAAAGAAAATTATTGCCTATAAATTGTATTTATTATTAGTTTAGGTAATCCTAATTTTACATTGTTCGAATTTTTTTTTTTTTGATAAAATTATTTTAAATAACAAAAAATTTGATTCATTTTTTTCCTATTAAGTATATTACATAATTTAAAATAACAAAAAGCAAAAGAATACAAAAAAAAAAAGAAAAAAAAGAAGGTTAACTTACTGTATTATAATTGTAAATAAGTTTGTTTTGAATGGCATTTATCATTTCATTAGTCCAAAATGATTTACCATTATTCAAATAACATTGCAAAGTGTAATATAATAAAGTTTCCTTGGTTGAATCAAGCATTATAATCTTAGCCTATAATTAGTTAGCATTTAAATTTAAATTAACATTTAAAGTAAACTGACATCAAATATGGAAACAATAATAATCTGATATTTCTATTATAATCAAATCAATAATTACCTGAATGATCACCATTAATCGTATATATCTGGTGATGGTTACACTAATAAATAGCTTAATCATATCACTATTATTTATCTATTATAATGATCATAACTTAATCATATCACTATTATTTATCTATTATAATGATCATAACTTAATCATATCACTATTATTTATCTATTATAATGATCATAACTTAATCATATCACTATTATTTATCTATTATAATGATCATAACTTAATCATATCACTATTATTTATCTATTATAATGATCATAACTTAATCATATCACTATTATTTATCTATTATAATGATCATAACTTAATCATATCACTATTATTTATCTATTATAATGATCATAACTTAATCATATCACTATTATTTATCTATTATAATGATCATAACTTAATCATATCACTATTATTTATCTATTATAATGATCATAACTTAATCATATCACTATTATTTATCTATTATAATGATCATAACTTAATCATATCACTATTATTTATCTATTATAATGATCATAACTTAATCATATCACTATTATTTATCTATTATAATGATCATAACTTAATCATATCACTATTATTTATCTATTATAATGATCATAACTTAATCATATCACTATTATTTATCTATTATAATGATCATAACTTAATCATATCACTATTATTTATCTATTATAATGATCATAACTTAATCATATCACTATTATTTATCTATTATAATGATCATAACTTAATCATATCACTATTATTTATCTATTATAATGATCATAACTTAATCATATCACTATTATTTATCTATTATAATGATCATAACTTAATCATATCACTATTATTTATCTATTATAATGATCATAACTTAATCATATCACTATTATTTATCTATTATAATGATCATAACTTAATCATATCACTATTATTTATCTATTACAATGATCACAACTTAATCATATCACTATTATTTATCTATTATAATGATCATAACTTAATCATATCACTATTATTTATCTATTATAATGATCATAACTTAATCATATCACTATTATTTATCTATTATAATGATCATAACTTAATCATATCACTATTATTTATCTATTATAATGATCATAACTTAATCATATCACTATTATTTATCTATTATAATGATCATAACTTAATCATATCACTATTATTTATCTATTATAATGATCATAACTTAATCATATCACTATTATTTATCTATTATAATGATCATAACTTAATCATATCACTATTATTTATCTATTATAATGATCATAACTTAATCATATCACTATTATTTATCTATTATAATGATCATAACTTAATCATATCACTATTATTTATCTATTATAATGATCATAACTTAATCATATCACTATTATTTATCTATTATAATGATCATAACTTAATCATATCACTATTATTTATCTATTATAATGATCATAACTTAATCATATCACTATTATTTATCTATTATAATGATCATAACTTAATCATATCACTATTATTTATCTATTATAATGATCATAACTTAATCATATCACTATTATTTATCTATTATAATGATCATAACTTAATCATATCACTATTATTTATCTATTATAATGATCATAACTTAATCATATCACTATTATTTATCTATTATAATGATCATAACTTAATCATATCACTATTATTTATCTATTATAATGATCATAACTTAATCATATCACTATTATTTATCTATTATAATGATCATAACTTAATCATATCACTATTATTTATCTATTATAATGATCATAACTTAATCATATCACTATTATTTATCTATTATAATGATCATAACTTAATCATATCACTATTATTTATCTATTATAATGATCATAACTTAATCATATCACTATTATTTATCTATTATAATGATCATAACTTAATCATATCACTATTATTTATCTATTATAATGATCACAACTTAATCATATCACTATTATTTATCTATTATAATGATCATAACTTAATCATATCACTATTATTTATCTATTATAATGATCATAACTTAATCATATCACTATTATTTATCTATTATAATGATCATAACTTAATCATATCACTATTATTTATCTATTATAATGATCATAACTTAATCATATCACTATTATTTATCTATTATAATGATCATAACTTAATCATATCACTATTATTTATCTATTATAATGATCATAACTTAATCATATCACTATTATTTATCTATTATAATGATCATAACTTAATCATATCACTATTATTTATCTATTATAATGATCATAACTTAATCATATCACTATTATTTATCTATTATAATGATCATAACTTAATCATATCACTATTATTTATCTATTATAATGATCATAACTTAATCATATCACTATTATTTATCTATTATAATGATCATAACTTAATCATATCACTATTATTTATCTATTATAATGATCATAACTTAATCATATCACTATTATTTATCTATTATAATGATCATAACTTAATCATATCACTATTATTTATCTATTATAATGATCATAACTTAATCATATCACTATTATTTATCTATTATAATGATCACAACTTAATCATATCACTATTATTTATCTATTACAATGATCACAACTTAATCATATCACTATTATTTATCTATTATAATGATCATAACTTAATCATATCACTATTATTTATCTATTATAATGATCATAACTTAATCATATCACTATTATTTATCTATTATAATGATCATAACTTAATCATATCACTATTATTTATCTATTATAATGATCATAACTTAATCATATCACTATTATTTATCTATTATAATGATCATAACTTAATCATATCACTATTATTTATCTATTACAATGATCACAACTTAATCATATCACTATTATTTATCTATTATAATGATCATAACTTAATCATATCACTATTATTTATCTATTATAATGATCATAACTTAATCATATCACTATTATTTATCTATTATAATGATCATAACTTAATCATATCACTATTATTTATCTATTATAATGATCATAACTTAATCATATCACTATTATTTATCTATTATAATGATCATAACTTAATCATATCACTATTATTTATCTATTATAATGATCATAACTTAATCATATCACTATTATTTATCTATTATAATGATCATAACTTAATCATATCACTATTATTTATCTATTATAATGATCATAACTTAATCATATCACTATCATTTATCTATTATAATGATCATAACTTAATCATATCACTATTATTTATCTATTATAATGATCATAACTTAATCATATCACTATTATTTATCTATTATAATGATCATAACTTAATCATATCACTATTATTTATCTATTATAATGATCATAACTTAATCATATCACTATTATTTATCTATTATAATGATCATAACTTAATCATATCACTATTATTTATCTATTATAATGATCATAACTTAATCATATCACTATTATTTATCTATTATAATGATCATAACTTAATCATATCACTATTATTTATCTATTATAATGATCATAACTTAATCATATCACTATTATTTATCTATTATAATGATCATAACTTAATCATATCACTATTATTTATCTATTATAATGATCATAACTTAATCATATCACTATTATTTATCTATTATAATGATCATAACTTAATCATATCACTATTATTTATCTATTATAATGATCATAACTTAATCATATCACTATTATTTATCTATTATAATGATCATAACTTAATCATATCACTATCATTTATGGAACTTAATCGGTTCAATAATTAAAATTCTGAAAAAGAATAAAAATGGAAGTTAACTAGTTATTTTGATTTACTCACTTTTATATTTTCCTCATTTAAATGTTGAATTTTTTCAAATAGTTTTTCTTCTGTTAATATCCATTTAACCGAAGTTTTCTTGAAATATTTTCCAATTTCGTCTAAAATTAAATTTTGGTTAATGTATAAAATATTCAATAGCAAGTAGCTACTGCTAAGCTTTTTTATGTAACTGAAATCTTCGTCACTATTCTCATTAAATTTAAACTGTTAATTTTAAATGATAATATCATTTCAATATAAATATACATTTCTTTGCACATTTTGTTATCATTTCTCATTTACAATTATGCAAATGATAAGTTTTTTATTGATAAATATAAAAAAAATAATTAATAATAATGAAAGCAATGTTTCATTGTTGGCTATCTTTTGTGATAAATTCATCAAAATAATAATCATTTATCCTTTTTCTTTTTTCTTTTTTTATTTTGAATTATAGAAATGATTGGTTAATTTAATTTACTAACAAATTTTATATGATGGATTCAATGGTACCAAAATAGCTCCAATGCTAATAGCAGCTAAAATAAAAATGATATAACGAGAAGAATTGTTGACATAGGTACCAATTGTGTCACCAGGTTGAATACCTAGCCTAATTAATGCATTACGCATTTGCTCAGATTGATTAATTAATTCCAAATATGTAAATGTTTCCATGGTTTCTGGATCAATCTGAAATATTTTTTACCAGAAATTTCCCTTTTCATCTCATCTGAATACTTTCAAAATTAAAAAATCTAAAATTTACAAAAAAATGAGTTTCATTTTTTATTTTTTCCTAATCTGTTGGTTTTAATAAATTTTTTAGTTATTTATTTTGATTTTTTCTCCTCTGTTGAAAAGAAATGCATTAAAATAACAACAATTTAATGATATATTAGCAGAATTTTAATTTAAATTTAACTTATTAACATGAATAAATTGATAAATTGTTAAGATTTTTTGGAACAATGAAGCAATTTTTACTTACCAAAGCAATAGCATTTCCGAATTGTTTGATAATTTCAAGAAAATAATCATAG